CGCCATAGCCAATTGAGAGTGAACTCGTATCTGAAAGCCATATCTCTGAGTTTTGAGTGGGCGCATGTCGCCAGTATACTGCGTTGCTGTTTACATGCATGAAAAGTGTGTTTGAGGAGTAGTCTGATTGCATCTTCATGTAAAGAGAAAGAGAGGGAGGGGGAGAGAGAGAGAGAGAGAGAGAGAGAGAGAGAGAGAGAGAGAGAGAGAGAGTGGACACATGCATGAAGGGGGAGAGAGAGAAAAAGACGGAAGTGCCACTGAGGGCTTGCGCGCTATCTGCGAGTTGGCATGCGCTAGAGCCCTGGCTGAGCAGCGCTCTGCTGTGGAAGGAAGGCAGCCATAGCCTCACAGTGAAGCAGTAGGAGTAGAGCCGAGTAGCAGGCGAATGTATCCAGAGTCTTGATCTGCATGTAAAGAGAAGGAGAGGGAGAGAGAGAGACAGGGGACACATGCATGAAGGGAGAGAGAGAGAAAAAGAGGGACAGAGAGAGTGGGAGTCACCTACGCGGATGAGGATGGTGGATATGGGTTGCTGAACTCTGCGCTGATGAGCACTGGTGGCTGGAACTCTGAAACTGTTTAATAAATTAATATGATAATTCGTTGGAATTGCTAAGCTCAACTAATTTGGACTTCGCATATATGGCCTTGAGTGTAGAATTCGTGTGATCTCAATGTGTATGTGCTAAAGGTTACAATGCAGGCTGGTGTGCTCACACATACACTTGATTCAGGATCAATGTTCGATTTCTACTCATGGAGAGGGACAGGAAATTTCTCGTGGTTAGGCCACCTGGGTGTCCAACCCTTCAAACCACCATGGTATGATTGGCAGAGAGGGATTTGGTTTCCAAGCTCAGAGCAGCCATGGCTGTGCAAAACTCTGTTCCTTAAACTGCAAGCTGGCAATATCACCTCACCTTCGTGATGCAGCGAACTGTTATAGGTCGTAATCGACTACTCACCCGTACTTGGGTGGGGCTGTATTGCTTTGCACATCGTAAGGATCTGCCATCTTGAAACAACTGATTGGGCTGAAAAAGTCCAAGCTACTGCATCTAAAACATGCTTGTGGTCAAGTCTCAGGCATGGTCTCAGATATAGCAGCTTCTAACTCAGAACTGTAGAAGTGCTCGTGGGCCTGAGATCGGATCCCAATGCCAGGAATTAACTAAACCCAGTTTGAAAAACGGACTGGGCCAAACAATGAAGGTGAGCGCGTAAGTGAAGCTAGTGAGGAAGAAAGAGTTAAGGGTTCAAGCGTTTCCCAGCATGATGTTTAGGGGGAGATGTGAGGAAATGAAATAAATTTGAAAGAAAATTCAAAAAGTGTGGCAGTACAAAGGGCATTGAAACAATGACTATTTAAAAAATACAAAGAAGGGAGTAGAAGAAAGAACATGATGAAAGCAAACACACTAAACAAGATGGATAAGGCAACAACAAAAGTTTTCTACGAATTTTTTTGGGGGTGTGTTTGCGGATTATCTTTTGCATGACCTCGTTTGCAGTTTGTCACGAGTATCTCATTACCGAGAAGAGGGCTCACAGCGCAACTTTAAACAGTTGACATCGTAGGACACAGGTGACTTGGCATGTTGAGAATCTTTGAGCATCTTTGCACAACTGCCATTCTTTGATGCATGCAACTGAGACCAGTTTTCTGCACATGTGTGTGCATGTGTTTGTGCATTGTCGTCCAGCCTTATCCGACGTCAGTGAGCCCACAACAGAAGTACATGCAGCCACAGCAACTGCAGCCAACTGTAATGGTGCCAACGCCTTCGATGGCTCCACCAGTGCCCACTCTTGCACCGAATCAGTTTGTTCCGGCCCCTCCACCTCCGATCCCACTTCTTCCGCAGCAGGAACATCATCAACTTGGAACAGCAGGAACATCAGCTGCACCAGGCACTCCCAAGGCTTCACTGACCATGCAGGATGGCCCGCCCCCAACAGTCCAGACGGCCGACACGAGTCTCGTTGCAGGTTTGTTTTTTTCTGAAAACTTGCTGTGATGGTGGCAAGGTGCTCTTAAATGTTGCCTCCTTGGCTCCATCATCTTGGCTTGGGTCCTGTTTGATATCTCTTTCAGAGTTGTTTGCGCGGTTTTGGGTTTGTGCTACGTGTTGGTTCGTGGCGACAACATCCTTGGCTTGGCTCCTGTTTGATGGCTTGTTTGGAGTTTTGTTCTGTATGCATGGTTTTCAATATCTTCTGGATGTAGGTTTGTGGCAATGATGCTGAATTTTCTACAAGGATTCCGGTGTGCAAAGAGCCCCGATATGAGTTTTTGGCAGCAGATGTTTGAAGCCCACACCCACCAGCGCAGCCACTGAACTCCATTGCATGCTGAATTGTCACTGCATAGTGCCTATAAATTGATGAGGCACTTTATCATGCTGTGCTGTTGACCAGAAGTCTTGTACGTGCCTTTGTATTCTTACTTTTTCCGTTGTTCAACCACTGACTTGCACATGGACTGAATTCGGTTACGGGATCGATGGTTTGGCAGGAGGATTGGATGCTGTTCTTCGAGAGTAGTCACTGCTCGTGGCATTCTGTAAGAGGTTATGTTATGGACCTCGGAGATACCCTAGCTTCTACCCATGTTTGTGCGCAGTCTAGATGTCATCCGGCCTTCCTGCCTCCCTTCTTGCCCTGAATAGAAGTGCAAGGAAAATGAGCAAGAGCGAAATGACAGAATTCCAAATTGCAACATCACATTGTAAGCCAGCTAGTCGTGAGCTGTCTGGGAAGCAGAAATGCATGAATATCACACCAAAGGAAAGCCAAAGCAACAAATTTGACGCTCTCTCGCCACCATCTACGAAGTATATGATCTCTTCTTCCTATCGGGGCTCACTGACCAGACTACCATTACAAAGCTCCAATGCTAGCCTACACTAATGACAAAGCAACCTGATGACGACAACGACAGAAACCAAAGTATGTGCAGATGTCGCCCATGCAGAGCGCCGGGAAATCAGGTATGTGCCCTCTTGGTCTCTATCCCACCCTCTCTCCGGATGCCCGCCCTTGTGGAGCCCCACGTCTGTCCTCCACGGAAGACCACCGACATCCCCGCTGACATACAAGCATGTGCGGCCTGGCTATGGTGAACATGCTGCACTGTCGCGTCCCAGCGCCAAACCCCACCTGCGCCTGCGTGCGCCCAGGCCGCCTTCTCTCCAGCTCCTACTGAACGCCCAGAATGGCAGTGCTGCTGCGAGTGAATGAAGTGCCCCCTCCAATGAATTTTAGCTGCCCGACACTTTCCTATATGGAAAGTGGCCTGGCTCGAAGGCGGCCTGGACTGGAAGGCCCATGTGCCCAGTAGCCTCACGTTGGGCCAAAGTGCGAGTAGGCCCAATTCAGACAGCTGCGTGGGACCAAAACAGTTGGGAGAGCCCAACTGCCAGATGTGGCTTAAGTTGCTCCCTGCCACCGGATTGGTTGAAAGGCCTGCTTCCACGTAGAGCCTGGATGAGCCTTGAAGGTTCTAGAAGTCACAGTTGCTTGCAGGCAGGGCCCATGTAACGAAGTGGCACGAGGTAACTTTCTGGCACCCACGAGGTCCTCAAAATGGCAAAATCCGGGCCATATTGAAATGTGCAGGCCCGCCTTCACTGAGGGCGGGCACAAGGCTTGCGATGGGCCCCCTGTAAGGGCCTTCTGAGGACACAGATCTTTGCACTCCCTCCTTTACTTCGGTAGTCCTCTGAGAAGTCCTTAACCATCAGGTTGCTTCCCTTTCAGTCCTCTTTCCTGTCGTGCGACTTGGGGAGCAGTCTTCATCAACTCTTCTCTTGAAAACCATCGGTTCTCTTTGGGAACAACATGACGCCTGAACTGTACCCGATAGTGCATTTGCGGTTTCAGTGGCTGACCTCTGCCTGGAGGTTTCGGAACGGACATCATTCTGTGCTCAATGATGTTGCCGATGTCGACGTCTCCAACCATGGTTGAGGGCAGCATGGATGTTCTTGAAGGAAACCTGTCAGTCTCAGCAAAGTGTGCAAGTCTGGAGCCATGCTAAACAGCGTGTGTGAGTAAGTGCACAGGGACTCGAATTACGTACGAGGGCCATCTGGATCATCTCCCACAATGTCCAAAACTTCCTATGGTCCGAAGTATTGTGGCATCAGCTTCCTTGATATACCGAGTTCGTGGCCCATTTCAGATGACTTGACCCAAACTCAATCCCCTACCTGAAAGCTTGACGCCCGTCTGTGGCTATTTTCAGATGCAACCATGGCATCTTGAGCTTTCTGAATCTGTTCGACAGCCTGCTGCAGCATCTTGTCATATTTGACAGCGAACTCTATATGCTGCCAGGTGCTGCTGTTGCCTGATTCTCAGGTACCACAAAGTCGAGAGCGGAACGGGGCTTCCAACGAAGATGGAGCTGGTTGGGAGTCATGCCTGTTGCGGTGTGCATGGCATTGTTGTACAGGCTGGCGATGAGAGGTAATTTCTCATCCCAGTCATCCTGGCCCGGCTTGATGTACTGTCAAAGCAATTGCTGCACTACCCGATTCATCTGTTCCTCTTGGCCGTCTGACTCAGGATGGTTTCCTGATGTCATTTGTAGTTGGGTGCCCATCTGCTTTGCTGTACTCTGCCACAACTCACTGGTGAAACGGACGTCCGAAATCACGCACGCAGTTATCCATAAACAGCTTGATAACCTGCTCAGTCTCCGCGGTCTCTGGCATAGCCACTAGTCTAGCGAACTTGCTAAACCAGTCCACAATGACGAAGATATGCCATGTACCACTTTTTTCTGGTCTCGAGTATATCGATGAAGTCCATGGACACACTATGATCCAGCAGGAATAGGCAAGGGCTTAATAAGCCCAAGCGGTGCTTGGTTTGTCGCACTGACAAACCTGACATGTTTCCACATATTTGCTAAGCATCAAAAGCGCTGCATTAGATTCGCTGATGTCTTCTTGAACCTGAAGTGTCCGGTTGAGTCATGACACTTTCCTAAAAGCAAACTACGCAAAAACTCACTAGAAGTAAACACGGTCTTTTATTCCCTGCATTCTTGAGGAACAACAAGCCTTCGACCACTGCGCAGCCACACGGGCCTGCAGGGCCTGTCCCACAGTCTCAGCCTAAAAGCCTAGAAACAAGGACTTACAGGCCCCATGTCGTTTCAGCCTGAAAGACTGAAAAACGAGGGCCTGCAGGCCTATGTCGTTTCAGCCTAAAACAGGGCCTTCCAGGCCCTGAGTCTTTTCAGCCTGAAACGGAGGGCCACTTACGGGCCCTCGTAAGATCGACCTGCCCTAACACTCAGGCACCAAACCAGGGTTTCAGGAACAGGCTATTTTGGCCTGTTCCCATGCCAGCCTCAGCAAGAGCTGCAGCAGCAGGCCCTGGCTCACCTCAGCATTGGCAAGAGCAGCCTCCTGGACTGCCCCACCCTGCAGCTGCAGGCAGTCAGGAGGCAGGCCGAGGTAGTACATAGGGAGTTCCCATGCACTTCACGGCCAGTCAGAGGCCGAGGCAGGAGTAGTCTTCAGGATTCGGCAGCAGCACTCTGGAGGAGCGCTGCAGGAGTAGCTTAGCGCTAGCAGTAGTCTTCAGCGCTGGGCGCTAGTAGTAGTAGCAGTAGTCTTCAGCGCTGGGCGCTAGTAGAGGTAGAGGAGGTGAGAGAGAGAGATGGCTGGCGGAGGCCAGGGAGACTTACCTGTGGCGCCATAGCTCCAGCTTAAGTCCACCATCTCTTCTTCACCCTCTCACTCCCTGACTTCTCAGTATCAGCGGACTACGACAGAGAGAGAGAGTTGTGACTTGAGACTTGACGACATTGGATCCAGACTTGACATTGGGATTCAGACATTTTGACGAGGGACTATTTGGGCTTGTGCCGAAGACTTGGTGTTGACAACATTCCCATCTTCCCCTCTTCTTCGTCTAACCCCCCTCTTCTTCGTCTCTGTATGGTTGGGGACTGGCGCATTCTTCCTGTGTGAGCGCCAGGCCCCTTCACACCATGGAGTGATGATGATGATGTATGTTCGGGGCTGCATTGCAATATTGATTGTTCGGATCATTGGTATCTAAGTCTTCCGCTACGCTATCTTGTACTTTGTGAGAGAGGTTGGTTCTTGTTCTGGTCTGCACCGTTACAGTATGCAACAGTTTGGTATGGGAGCGGACCTCTCATTCAGAGGACCCGCTCAATCAAGTAGCCAGCTTGATTGATCTATTGATTACTCATTAGTAAATCAAGTAGGACTTCGTCAAATCTCTGAATTTTTTTCTCGCAACAAATATCTGAAAATTTCTGATAATCGCATTTTGTTTTACCTGAAAATTTCTGATATTAGTATTTCGTTTTCACGCAACAAATATCTGAAAATTTCTGATAATCGCATTTCGTTTTATTTGAAAATTCCTGATAGTAGCATTTCGTTTCTCTGATATTCGCATACATAGCCGAAATTTCTGATGTTAACATTTCCTTTTCTAGGCCTATGAGGATAACGATAGAGGGGGTCATATTCTCGGAAACCGGATTTATTCTTTTCTGAAAATCGAATCTCCATTCTTTCTCGCAAATTTTTTTTTGAAAACCGAAATCTTGCGAAGCCTACCAGCATTTTGTTTAGGCATATTAGGAGGTTGCCGTATTCTCAGAAACTGGATTTAGTTCTTTTCTGAAAATCGCATCTCTACTCTATTTTGCTAGGAAGATTCTCATGACCGGCCGGTCACCCGGGCATGACGCTCGGGGGGGTCTGACGCCCGGGTGACCCAGTCATAGCAAAAAAAAAAAAAAAAAAAAAAAAAAAAAAAAATTTTGGCGGTGGTTTTTTTCTGCGCTCTCCGAGAGGAG